AAAATTCTAACATCTTCCCCATGACCATCATCAAGATAATTTGCTTATAGTTTCCTGCCTTCCTCCCTTTTTGAATAGTTATATTTGTTACTTTCCAGTTTATTGAAACCTGGAACCAATCATTCTTTCCAGTGGTTGATGGTCGAGGGCTGAGATCATTCCTCTAGTTTGTTTAGTATGGAGTAGGCAAGTCTAATGTCAGCTCTGCTTATCAAGATACAATTTTAACAAAAGGGTCCATTAACAGCGCCTTGAGGAAGCCCAGAAAATGGAATTCACAAATTTGACAGTAGCATCAAATACTTGGAGGCTGACCACAGCTATCTTACTGATAGATTGACATGGTAGCAGCCATTTTAAGCCTGGAAAGTGGGTACAAAGCCTATAAATTCTTCCTGTATAGCTACAAGAGTCTGAGAAAGCACAGAGTAGGTAGAAATTACTCGAAGTAAAGTAAAATGATCTGCTGTTGTAGGAAGGTGCAGTATATTTGCTGTTTTATATCATTATTATTATCATCATGTGAAAACTGCAATTGATTAAATATGTTTAACTCTAACTATTGCTGTGTGTTATCATTCACTGTGAAATAAACTATTTGCATTTGATCCTGTCTTACCTCTTCTCAGTTTGCATTCAAATATTTAAAGAAACACATAAGAAGGCAAACTTAAAAGTCTTAATATGTTGCTTGTATATCAAGGAAACTCAATTGTTATATCCTTGGTTTATGCTTTTTTTTAATATCCAGAAGTGCTTTCACAGACAATTGAACATTTTTTTCCCACCACCATATCATTTATGTTGCTTTCCATTTTTATCCATCACCACTAAATCACACACGTTTCCAAATAAGTATCAATCTACCTGCAAAGCCCATCAGGGGTAACAACAACAAAGTTGAGGGTCAGATAGGCAGAGAGGGAGGGGAACAAATCATAATGGAGTTGGATGGGAAGATAAAGCACTCCATGCCCCTGTAGTGTCCACCTCTCTCTAAAGGATTCAATAGTATTGCTGTGATTCAAACTACTTGGACATCAGACAATATGGCTCACCTGGGCTTCATATTTAGGCACTGCCGGTGTCAGAAATGGAGGAAGGCAGGTTTTCAAAATTTCGCAACCAGCTGGCATACCAATTCCCTAGCTCTCCCCTGTCTCTGCAGGCTATTTTCACAGTGATGGGTTGGAGAGAGAGAAAGGCACAGCAGACTCCTCGCCCATATGTGATCACTAGCTGACTGGGCTCATTAAGGATTGTTTAAGACCTGTTAAAGGTGCAAGGTTCATAGATGTAGGGGTGCAGTTTAGCTGCATGGAGTTGACCACTCTCTGAAAGACCAGGGTTGACCTTGCCTTAGGTGTTGTAACAGCTGCAGACCACCATGGAGAAAAACTGTCTCCACAAGCACTGTGTGTCCTGTCTGCAAAAGCCTTTTTTAAAATGTGAAATATTGTATTAAATTCAGAATTAGATTTTTATACTTAAAATTTTAGAGAGACACCCCTTCCATCTTGAAGTGTCTTCTTCTGAAGCCTGCAGGGTGGATCCAGCCTGTGGTCATACTGCTTAAGTAAGGCATGACACCAACTACATAACACTACATAACATGCACCATTATATGATGATGTAGCAGAAAATGGACTTTAATACATATAAAAGACACACCTTGGGTGTGTGTTCAGGTAGTCTTGGCAAAACCTATTCAAAGACCAGAATATCCACTTCAAACGGTAACATTAGACAACATATACAAATATCTGATTATCAGAATGTTAGCACCTTTCCAGTGAGATTGTTTACTTTTCTCTTTCTTCAAGTCATTATCGGTAAAGATCAATATATCAAATCTGATGTGGGCCACTCAGAGATGAATTTGCCAAAACTGAACCGTAATATCTGCACACTATAAAACTGCACTTTGAACTTTGTAGACTATGCAGCATCTTTGCACAGTACATAAGGTAGGATGCCATTTTTCATATATTTGAGTATGAGAGCAGAGCTATGCTTTGGTATTAACTATTTTGGTTTGCAATTCATTTGGTATTATACATGGGTGCTTTTACATCTGATATGTCCCAAATGTCACACTAGTCATTTTATATATTGTAAAAACATAGCTAGCTGATAGAATGTAACTTATCACGCTAAAGTGGAATATAGAAGCTTTAATACAGCAATGTGCAAGTACCAATCAACAGCAACCATTAGAGAAAAAAAATCACGTTGCAGGAGAATGTCCTGATACTTCTATAGCTCCTGTAGCTCTGAACCATCAAACTGAAATTAGGAACAACGGAAAGTATTTTGATTTCAATGGAACAGCATTCCTTTATAGGGCCTGTCCAAGGCTGACTGACTTATGGGTGATTTCTCATGAATCCTGGCTGTGAATGACAAAACTATATTGGACAGTCTAGTTGAAATCGAGCTGCTCCTCCAGCTGTTTCATAGTTTATCTTGGCTTCTGTTCTATTCCTACAGGGTGTTGATTTTAACTTGAAAGGTAGCAACAGGCAAGGTGTTGATTCATGGCAGCTTGCCCATGGCCCTGTTTTCTGAACCATCAGCTGTGTGACTAGGTGCCTAGTGGTTATACTTAAAAGTATGCTGCTTCTTGCTGTTGGTCAGTAGTAGCCCTCCTCATCTTTACTAATCAGTCAGCAGTCTTAGTCGTTGTTGACAACACCACCCCGATCCATCACCTTTCTTTCAGTGCTCAGCTGGATGGAAATATCTTCACCAGTTTCAAATGTTACTCAGCCAGTCATACCATCCAATCTCCTGTAGTGATCTCTCTTCTTGCTCCTCCAGTATTTTCTCAGGGGTCCCACAAAGATTCCATCCTTAGGCCAATGCATTTTCTCACATGCTGACCCTCATCCAGTTCCACTTCATCACTACTTCTCTCAGCTTCCATGCTGCCTCTGATATTTTGGGATGCTTGTCCAATATCCAGTACTTAATGTACAGGAATATCTTTCCAGCAGATTAAGAGCATAAGACCATAAGAGATAGGAGCAGAAGTAGGCCATTCACAACATCGAGCCTGCTCTGCCATTTAATGGAATCATGGCTGATCTGATCATCCTCAACTCCACTTTCCTGTCTTTTCCCCATAACCTTTGATTCCCTTACTGATTAAAAATCTGCATTGGGAAGACAAAAGCAATTTGTAACATCCATTCCCTAGTCACAATACCATCTCGCTCTGTGGTCACTGATGTATAAGGGTGCAAGGGTCAGAAAAGGGTTAATATTGTGGATTGTTTCAAGCATCATCAACAACGTTGATGTCAAACAGACCCAGATGGAGAACCAGTCCTGAAGAAGGGTAATACCCGAAATGTTGACTGCTCCTTTCCTCTAAATGTGGCCTGTCTCGCTGTGTTCTTGCAGCCTCCTGTTTATCTACCAAATAGAGAACAGCTTGAAACCATCCAGATCCTCCTCATTGTCTTTGTAACAATGGCTATCATACCAGAGTTACTTGTATTTATGTGCAATAAATTCCATGTTGTTTAATACAGGAATCTCTTCTCATTAGACCAGCTAGTAGTTTTCCTGCACCACACTCGGGGTGGCACGGTGGCTCAGTGGTTAGCACTGCTGCCTCACAGCACCAGGGATCCGGGTTTGATTCCACCCTCGGGCGACTGTGTGGAGTTTGCACATTCTCCTCGTATCTGCGTGGGTTTCCTCTGGGTGCCTCAGTTTCCTCCCACAGTCCAAAGATGTGCAGATTAGGTGGATTGGCCATGCTAAATTGCCCATAGTATTCAGGGATGTTTAGATTAGGTGGGTTATGGGGAATGGGTCTGGTTGGGATGCTTTGAGTGGCAGTGTGGATTTATTGGGCTGAAGGGCCTGTTTCCACACAGTAGGGATTCTAAGATTCTAGGCCAAACAGAGGATGGTGGCCTACCCTTTAGTGAGCAATGGATAGAGACAACCTCATTCAACACATAGGCCTGCACTGAGGATTGCTCCAACAATGACTTTCTGAGGTTCAACCAAATTATTTTCAACCTTGTCATCCTAATTGACCCTGACATAAGTTTTTGTCTATATATCTGATCCACTATCAAAACCAACTACTCTGGAACATTGTTCATTTTCATCCCTGCCTCAGCTTCCCTGTTACGGAAACTCTCATCTATGCTTTTGTTACTTCTAGATTTCACTATTTCCTATATGCTCCTGGACATCTTTCATTTTTTCAGTTTCTAAAAAACATTCTGCTACCAGTTAGGGCAGCATAGGGAGGCTCAGTGGCACTGCTTCCTCACAGCATCAGGATCCAGGTTCAGTTCTGCCCTTGGATGACTCACTGTGTGGAGTTTACACATTCTCCCCATGTCTGCTTGGGCTTCCACTGAGTGCTCCAGTTTCCTCCCACAGTCCAAAGATATGCAGGTTAGGTGGTTTGGCCATGGGAAATGGAGGGTTACAGAGATGGGATGGATATGGGTGGGATGTTCTTCGGAGTGTCAGTGTAGACCTGATAGATTGAATGGCCTGATTCTATAATTCTAGTACCTAAAATCATATCAAGCACAGAAGTTTACATTCCCCCCAATAACGGGCAAACAGTCCCATGATGATCTTCCCCCTGTGCTGAACTCTCTGCAACTTTATGATGGAATAACCACCCTCTCTACTCACATTTGAGGTCCTGAAGTGGCCAATCATTGAGAACTGGACTGCCATTCCGCACCCAATGTCAATATTGAGACTGATGGGAGGAGTTCTAACCGCAGGGGGATTCCTGGAAAGCTGCTTAAAGGGCTAAATGATTGGGGAGTAACCAGTTTCAGGGGCATGCAACTGCCACCAACTCTTCAGGTGGCAAGAAAGGAAACCCCACGAGCTAAATAAACCCTTCCTCAAATCTCAATGACCCATCCCCTGGGTGCTTACCAATCCATATTAACTCCTGGTTGATAATGCCTCGTGTTAAAAATTATTTTCGTGAAATGAAAAATCCAGTTGCATTTTGGTTTCAAAACTTTATATTGCATCGAGCAGACAGTTAATTGCACACATTTTTAGTTGCAATTGAACGTTTAATCCATTCACTGCCTTTTTGTTGATCAGGTAGCAGACGAGACCGTTCGGCGTGTATTACCTTCGCTAACTCTTCGAAATAAATTTTAAACTCGTTTTCCTCTGCTTTGGTGTTACAGTGACTGTCACATCCGGGGGCAGTGAGGAATCAACATAAACTTCGACTTCTCAACATTTTGGGAATAAGTTTTTTGAATACTAGATGCAGTCAGAATGGCTGGAGATTAAAAGATTATTGCATAATCACGAGACTGTGAAATAGACAGTTGTAGATTATGCACACCGCTGATGGAAAACTTTAAGGACTCATTTGTTTTTGAAAAGTGTTCCCACAATGTTGTTCAAGAAGGCCAGAGAAATTATCTCATAGTACCTAGACTGTGCTTCGAGAGGAGTTGTAATTTCTCAATTAGTAAAAAAAAAAATTCTATGTCGTTTAAGTGGATGAAATGAATTATATGGCAGAGAGAGGGAGAGAGCCTGGGAATTTGAAGGATTGCCTACGAGTTATAATTTCGAAAAAGAGGCAAGATTTAGGAGTGCGCCTGTGTTTTGGGCGCGTCTCGCCAGCCGTATTGCAGCCAGTCGCCTCCCACTAAGACGAATGGAAAGGGTCGGAGGTTATTGAGCTAAGAGAGAGAGAAAAAAATTACACCACGTGTGTTAGCAGCAGCAGTAGAGCCGGCTCCGTCCGTCCTTCGTTCCGTCTGCGTCGAGCTTTCAGCTTCTGTCAGAATCGCTGAACCTGCTTTCCAGTTCGGCAAAGTGGAGAGGGGAGCAAAACGCTGAGCAGGAGCGATGGTGAGCAAAACGGACGAGACCTCGCCGGTGGCTGTCGACACCAGAGAAAGCAAAGAGTTAGAAAATGACATTGGAAGGGAGGCGTGTGACTGTGGTGAGTTAAGGTCAAAATAATCCCGAGGGGTGAGTGAGTAGGGGGTCGGGAGGAAGGTGAGTGAATGGGAACGTAAAGAGAACATGATTTGGGGAAGCGGGGGGTGTAATATTGAATGAAACCTCATTGCAGATGGAAGTTCCCAATTTATGCTTATATAAGAATTTTTTTTTAAAGTGACACTAACGAACAGGTTAATGGGAGGGTGTAGTGGCGGGGGTCGGGGTTGTCAGCAGTTGAAATACAGGCAGTGGAAGGGTTTAGGTAGTTAATCTAGTGGGGTGGGGGGGGTTGGTGGTAGTGACTGCCCCACTGCCTTCCCTCGCAATCCATGCCGTCTGCTGCTGGTGGCAGCTTCTTGCTACAATGTTGCAATCCGGCCCCGCAATGTATCCACGCGGCGGTCGCGGGAGCCTTTTGATGTTGCCACATGTATCCATTTGTGTGTATGTAGCAAAATCGCCGGTTCCTGCTAGAGTGAGCGGGCCGCACTGACAGGGGGCTTCATGCAGGCTACAAACCGGCAGTTTAGACGCTAAAATGTTGGGGGTGGGAGGGAGGTACAGCAGTAAAATTTAAAATGCGGGCACAGCGCTGGGATCAGGAGGTCGCACAGACTCTGTCCCCTTGCCCTTTCTCCCCAACAACTCCTCCAGCCGTCGCCAGGAGGTGTAGGGTTGGCTGCGTTTACCTACCCCCTCGCCCCCTACTTTCTCTTCCTCCTCCTCCACCGCCCCCCCCACCCCGGCGGGTGAAGGTCACCTTCAGTCCCGCTGATTGCCGGGAGAGCGGCCCCCGGTGCGGCCTGGCCTTCCCCCAGTGCGGCTTGACCAGGCCAACTCCCGACGAGGGACCCTACCCTCCCATCCCCGGGCTTGGAGGTACCGTGTGGAGGGCAAAGGTGAGTACGGAGGGAGGATGCCCCTGCTTTGCTTGTTGGTAGCTGCTCCCCCCTCGACATTGCAAAGCCCGGAAGTGAATCCCGGCTCCTTCGCAACCAGGGGCTGGTTGCTGTGGAGGGTCATGTGATGAAGAGGCGGGGAGAGGTTACACATCTATCGGAATGAGCCAGTTACCAGGGCTGCTTTGCCCTCCACCCCCTTCCTCACTTAACCCCTTTCAGCAAGGTTTGGCCCTGTCCTCTGGTACTTGTCCTTTCCTCTGTGTTAGAGGACAGTGAGCAGCAGGTGTGGCTTTGTGGGATGGGGAAAACGTCTAATGGAGATTTGCTTGAAGCCTTTTAATAGATGATGCCAAATATCGACGAGATATTGTCAAAACTGCACACTTGCAGTCATAAAAGGATGTCTTTGCAATTTTATTTTTATTCATTCATGGGATATGAGCTTTGCTGGGTCTGACAGAAAGCTAAGCTATCATGTGAAAACCTGTTGACGAGACCTCGAATATTGAGGAAAGATCTTGCTTTTGTGTTGCTGCACAGTTGAATTTAAAAACGTTTTTTTTAACAGGTGAGCAAAGTCTTTGTTGCGACAAAGTCTGTTTGGGTCCTAAGTCTTGATATGGGTGGCCTTGATCCAGTTTTCAATGGACACCAGTAAACAGTATGTGAAAGCCTGATAAAATAGGATTGTTTGGAGAGAACGTAAGATTTCTGCATCTTGGGCAGAATAAAATGAACTGGTCAGCTGTTACCCTTCTGATGAAGGGTCTAGGCCCGAAACGTCAGCCTTCCTGCTCCAATGATGCTGCTTGGTCTGCTGTGTTCATCCAGCTCTAAACATTGTTATCTCAGATTTTCCAGCATCCAGTTCCTACTACCTCTAGTCAGCTGTTAGCCAGTTTACGATCATAACCACTGAAGAAATATATTCAGACTTCTGGAGGTTTGATGGACAGTGCTGGATGCTTTTGTAAACCCTGCTCAAGGGATTAACTTGGAAATAAGGTAGGGGATGATGAGGAAATTAGTAGAGTAGGTGAAGGGACTAAAGATTTTTTTAAAAAATCAATATTTTGGAAGGGGTTCTGAATGCAGTGGTAGTGTCCCTACCCTTGGACTAGGAGGCCCAGGTTCAGGTCCCACCTGCTTCAGAGGTGTGTAACAACATTTCTGAGCAGGTTGATTAGAAAAATAAGTTAATTAAAAAAATAAAAATAGATATTTTGGAGAGACCCCTGGTATTGTAGAGGTATTGTCCCTACCTCCAAACCAGGAGTCTTCGGTTCAAGTCTCACCTGCTCCAGAGTTGAATCATCGCATCTCTGAACAAGTTGATTAAAAAATATCTGGAAATTTTGGGTGACAGGTATTTTGCAGCAGAAGATGTGATTTTTCTCCCTCTGAATTTTGTTGTTTTCGGCAAGTTTTTTAATAGAAGTTATGATGTTGTGGAAAAAGTTTATAAACAGTACTGATCACTTGCAATAGCAAATCCTTTTAATATGGTCAATTCACATCTTGCAACTTGAGTCTTTCCATAACAAAGGATTGCTGACATTGTGCAGGACTAACTTTGAAACAGCTTGACCTGGGACAGCACACTGTTTGAGAACTTGCAATGCATGCGGCCTATGTAGGCAGTGCTGTATAGATTACGTGGTTATTCCAGATAAAAGGCACTGGGATCTCTCTCACCTGGACTCTGGTACGTTTTTTTCTTGCATGAATTCCAGGATGCCTTGATGGAGTACTATGTGCAATTCTGGTTGCCCTGTTGTAGGAAGGGTTCAGAAAAGATTTATCAGGATGTTGCCAGAAATGGAGAGTTTGAGATATAAAAATAAACTGGAAAGGTTGGAACGTTTTTCTCACTGGAGCATAGGAGATTGAGGGGTGACCTTATGAAGGTTTATAAAATTATGAGGGGCATAGATAATGTGAATGACGAGTCTTTTCTCTAAAGTGGGGCAATTGAAAACTGAGAGCATTTTCTTTAAGGTGAGAGGAGAAAGATTTTAAAAAGGACATGGGGGCAACTTTTTTATACAGTAGTTTGTGTGTAGAATGAACTGCCAGATAAAGAGGTGAATGCAGGTATAGTTACAATGTTTAAAAGACATTTGGATAAGTACATGAATGGGAAAGGTTTGAAGGAATATGGGCCAAGTGTGGGCAGGTGGGACTAGTTTAGTTTGGGAACATGGTTGGAGTGAACTGGTTGAATAGAGGGATCTGTTTTCATGCTTTATGACTGCGTGACTGTGCCGCAGTTCGGGGTGGGAGGGGAGCAGCAATGGAAGGTCAACATGCAGAAGCTGCTGGAAACCTGAAAGAATATTTTTTAAATGTTGTAAGCACTCAAGGTCAGGCAGCTTTTGTGTAGTGGAGAAATATAAAATTAATGCTCAGGTCAGTGACCTTTTTTGAACTGGTTGTTCTATTGAAAGGTCATCATCCTAAAATGTTAACCCTGAAATGACTAATTTATCTCTGCACATTTGCTGTTTGACCTGCTAAAGGTTTCCAGCATTTTGTTTACAACTTTTTTTTATACTTTGTGTTGGGTTTTCATAGTGTTCAATGTTCCTGAATGTCACCTTGTCCAGTACAACCAGACGTGAAGGCTGGCTAAGTGTGAAACAGAAAAAAGGCTTTCGCTTGTGTGGTGCCTTTCACAAAAACCAGACATTCCAAAGCACTTTATAGCTGGTGAAATGCTTTTGAAGCAGAGTCAGTATTGTAATGTAGGAAGTGCAGTAATGTAGTAACTTCAACATGTGTATGGCAAGTTTTCACGACTACCATGTGATAATGAGCAGAGAATCCCTTTTTTTGTGATATTGATGAGAGATAAATACTGACCAGGCCACCGGGAACTCCCTTTCTATAGTCACTGTTGGGTTTTGGGACTTTTTTTATACCCAACTAGAAGACCAAATGGGATCTTGATTTAACAGCTCTTGCGGAAAAATACAACCTCGAAAGGTGCAGCAGACCCTAAGGCAAGTGATGGAATGTCACCTGATGTTTTATCCTCAAGTTCTGGAGTGGAACCTACAACGTCTGGCTCCGAGGCGAGTGATACTAACCAAGACATACAGAGCACGGCTGTCCTATAGCCCCATCGCAAGAATATTCCCGTGAAGACTTGCAACATTTAGAGTCACAGATCTGAAATGTACAGCAAGGAAACAGAGCCTTCAGTCCACCTTGTCCATGCCGTCCAGATATCCTAAATAAATCTAGTCCCATTTGCTGCATTTCCTTCTAAATCCTTCCTATTTGTATACCCATTCAGATGCCTTTTAAATGTTGTAATTGTATCAGCCTCCAACGCTTCCTCTGGCAGCTTATTCCATACGCGTACCACCCTCTGTGTGAAAAAGTTGCCCCTTAGGCCCCTTTTAAATCTTTACCTTCTCACTTTATACCTGTGTCCTTTAGTTTTGGACTCTGTCTATTTACCCTATCCACGCCCCTAATGATTTTATAAACCTCTCACCCCTCAGCCTCCGACACTCCAGGGAAAATAGCCCCAGCCTATTCAGCCTCTCCCTATAGTTCAAACCCTCCAGCCCTGGCAACGTCCTTGTAAATAATTTCTGAACCCTTTCAAGTTTCACAACATTCTTTCTATAGCAGGGAGACTAGATTGAATGCAGTATTCCAAAAGCGGCCTAACCAATGGCCTGTACAAGTGCACCATGATGTTTCAACTCCTGTATTCAATGCACTGACCAATAAAGGCAAGCATATCAAATGTTTTTTTTTTTACTGTCCTATCTACCTGCGATTCCATTTTCAAGGAACTATGAACCTGGAACCTGCACTCCAAGGTCTCTTTGTTTGTCAGCACACCCCAGGACGTTACCATTATGTGTATAAGTGCTGCCCTGATTTGCCTTTCCAATATGCAGCGCCTCACGTTTATCTAAATTAAACTCCATCTGCCACTCCTTGGCCCATTGGCCCATCTGATCAAGATCCCATTGTACTCTGAGATAACCTTCTTCGCTGTCCACTGTACCTCCAATTTTGGTGTCATCTGCAAATTTACTAACCATACCTCCTATGTTCACGTCCAAATCATTTATATAAATAACAAAAAGCAATGGACCCAGCACCAATCCTTGTGGCACATCGCTGGTCACAGGCCTCCAGTCTGAAAAGCAACCCTCACCAGCACCCTCTGTCTCCTACCTTCGAGCCAGTCCCGTATCCAAATGGCTAGTTCTCCCTGTATTCCATGTGATCTAACCTTGCTAACCAGTCTACTATGAGGAACCTCGTCGCACGCCTTACTGAAGTCCACATGGATCATATCCACCACTCTGCCCTCATCAATCCTCTTCATTGCATCTTCAAAAAACTCAGTTAAGTTAATAAGACACGATTTCCCACGCGCAAAGCCATGCTGACTATTCCTAATCAATCCTTGCCTTTCCAAACACATGTAAATCCTGTCCCTCAGGATTCTCTCCAACAACACTGATGTCAGACTCACTGGTCTATAGTTCCTTGGCTTTTCCTTACCATCTTTCTTAAATAATGGCACTACATTAGCTAACCTCCAGTCTTTCAGCACCTCACCTGTGGCTATCGATGATACAAATATCTCAGCAAGGGGCCCAGCGGTCGCTTCCCACAGAGTTCTAGGGTACAAGTGATCAGAACCTGGGGATTTATCCATCTTTATGTGTTTTAAGACAACCAGCACCAAAACCTCTGTGAAATGGGCATTTTTCAAGTGTTGCTATTTACTTCCTATGTAATATATCTTTGATATCCCTCTCCACAGTAATCACTGAAGGAAAACACTGATTTAGTATCTTCCCCCATCTCCTGTAGTTCCACACATATGTGTCCTTGCTGATCTTTAAGGGGCCCTATTCACTCCCTAGTTACCCTTTTATCCTTAATGTATTTGTAGAATCCCTTTGGATTTTCCTTAATCCTATTTGCCAAAGCTATCTTGTCCCCTATTTGCCCTCCTGATTTCCCTCATGAGTATACTCCTACTGCCTTTAAACTCTCTTCCAGGGATTCACTCGACCTCTTACTGCCTGTACCTGACATATGTTTCCTTCTTTTTCTTGACCAAAACCTCAATTTCTCTGGT